TCGACAACAGCCCGGTCGAGTCGTGGGATTCCGCCGTACGTCCGCGGGGCGTGCGCGCGACTCAGACTTGGCTTTCAAGGGTTACGCAACTTAAGGCGCGCATTTATTTAAGGGTGGTGCAATAACTACGGGTTAACTGACCTTGTCCCCCCCCCCCAACTCCTTATGCAATCATCAGTGCAACGAATGCTGTCTATGCACGGCGAGGACGTGAATATACGCGCTTGGCAAACACAGTAGTGACGGGGATTATTGTGAATATCTATTGGGAAGGGAAAACTCATTTTGCTGTATTGGCACTGCTGGCACGACGAGTGTGTCTGTGTGTGTGTAGCCGGGTGATGTACTGAGCGGCGTCAGAGGCCCGAGGATGTGGCCCCTTGTGGAACACCGTAACGTGGACGAGAGCAGTACCGGATTATGCAAGTAGCAAAAGTAGCTACCACGTGGAAATTGAAAGCAGCCAAATACTCTAAACGCGTGTTTCTAAATGTGGAGAGAAAAACCGGAGGACCCAGAGAAAGATCCACGCGACCGCGGGGAGAGAGAGACACGCAAACTCCAAATATACAGCAGCAGGCGTCAGGGTCAGGATCGAACCCCACGACCTCCTGTATACCAGGCGAGGCAGATAACATCTCCTAGCCACCATGGCACCCTCTCGCATTGCATCACGATAGCGGTCTGAAGAAGTCACCGACCGGTTTAAATATTTAGTCAATGGGAGGAAATCAGACTACCTGGACAGAGAGAAAAAAACCTCACGCATACAATGGAATGGCACTTTAAACGTCCATAGCAGGTGGATTCAAGAACCCAATTTTCACGTAGGTTAAAAAAAAAAAATCACGACGTTTCGGAGGCAACACAAGCCTCCGTCTTCAGGTGGAACCATCAGAGCAAAATCAGCGATGGTTCCACCTGAAGACGGAGGCTTGTGTTGCCTCCGAAACATCGTGATTTAATGTATTTTTATTCTTATTTAACCTACGTGACTTTACCGAAAAAAACAAAGAGTATGTATCCTTGCAGTCACGAAAGCTTCAAATCTATAATTAACCCAATTTCCGTACCGTCATCCCCTGGCCACCCTGAAACCCGACAGGGCTGAAAATATCTACACTATGGGAACCTCATTTGCCAGTAAAAATATGATAATTGGTTTTTTACCCTTCTATCTGGCAACAAAACTGACACCTTTTTACAAGGAGTCATGTTTGCATAGACCACAATACCTGCAGTCATAATGCAAACAAAAAACATAACTCTGATAATGTGCACTGTCCTTGAAGTTGGCGTCATCTGGTCCAACCCATGTGAGACTAGGCTCTAAGTAAAGCTGTCTCGGGTGTGGACCAATCAACTTCAAGGACAGTGCATACATTATCAGAGTTATGTTTTTTGTTTGCATTATGACTGCAGGTATTGTGGTCTATGCAAACATGACTCCTTGTAAAAAGGTGTCAGTTTTGTTGCCAGATAGAAGGGTAAAAAACCAATTATCAGGGCTGAGAATGTCACAAATCTCGATGCGATCCACCAACGATCCCTGTCCTCTAACGGTGCTGGATGACGGCACCGCGCCTCCATGCCCCGAGTGCAACTCCACTCGCCGCACTGGTTGTTGAGGCTGTCTACGTGAATCGGGTCGGACCATGCGCACCATTATACAGCGTTGGTTTCACCATTGTGCACGGCTGCACTATCGCGTTGCATGACATCTGTGTACTGTCACCAGCAATAACAAAAAACACACGCGCGCACGTGTTTGTGTGTGCGCGCGTGTGCCGGATGCACCGCTGGGAGCGGTGGTGCAGCGGTCAGCGCGCTGCGCCACGAACCCCGGCGAACCGAGTTCGATTCCCGCCCGCGGCCACCAACACCGGTGACGATTATCTGAACCGGTCCTGGGTCTCAACTAGGTCGACTCAGCCTCAAATGAGTACCCTGGTGCGATGGGGAGACAAAGGCGGCTGGCGAGTGGTGTTGGCCACTCACCCCCTCGTGTGCCGGTCGCCGGCCTACATAGGTGCTACTAGCAAACAGCACTTGCCCCAACAGTCTGTTTAGGCTATACGGGGGATCTTTGTCTTTGCAGGATGCACCACCACCACCACGAAGAGACAAGCGTGTGCCGTTGCGCCGGTTCGAACCGTTTGAATGACACTGGCCACCCTTCCTGTCCCTATTAAACACGAAACATTCCTTAGTAAGTGGCCCACACGTGCATAGAGTTACACTTCTCATACGCAGGAGGTAGCCGAGAGAGAGAGGGGGGGGTGGTGGTGGTGGTGGGGGGGGAGGTCAACATCAGAGGCGTGTGGATGGGGCAAGGGGGGGGTGCCCACGTTTTATTCCCAAAGCGTTTGGTGGAGTCGCAGAGAAGGTTGATGTGATGATAAACCAGAGGTCGCAACCGGGTACCCGATACCCGTACCCTACCCGATACCCGGCTACCCGTACCCGGCCAGGTACGGGTAGCCGTTTGCGACCCTGGTAGGCCGGGTACGGGTATTGGTAGGCCGTGAGTCACTGGTGAGTCACCGTTTGTCACTCATTTCGGGTAGGGTACGGGTACGACCCTGGTGCGGCCGGGTACGGGTAAGGAATCAAAACCCGTTTGCGACCTCTGGGATAAACTCCCGCGCGTCAAGCAGCCCACGCGTCAATTCCCCGGCCCTCCGCCGGTCCTCCCGACCGCGCGACTGACTCTCCTGGCACGGTCTCTCGTCGAGAATCTGAATATTTGTTTATTTATACACCGGAGGAATCCGAAGAGCTGTGAAGCTCTTTGATTTTTTTTCACACACGCGCACGCGGACCATGTGCACGACCTCCACGCCTCGGACTCGGATCACCGCGGTGGCTGTGAGCGTGGTTCACCTGGGTCTTGCCCCACCACCACCACCCCCCCTGACCAATTCCACCCTCCCACCCTCCACAGCCTGTGGACCATGGTGCAGTTGCACAATCGATATCCACACCGCTGGGCACCACGGTGGCGGGATGTTAACTACCTCGCCTGGTACGCATGACGTCGCGGTTTCAAACCCGACCCTGACGCTGCCTGGATATTTGGAGTTTGAATGCTATCCCCGTGGTCATGTGGATTTTTCTCGCGATCCTCCGGTTTTTTCCCTCCACATTTAGGAACATGCGTTTTAAGAGTATTTGGCTGCTGTACATTTCCACGTGATAAGCCACTTCGTTGAACTATCATTTGTGGCCAGGTCGCTTGTGAAAAAGAACTTTCTAGCTCAGTGGTCCTTACCTGGTAAAATAAAAGATTCATAGCTGCATCTCCGTCAAAGTGTTGTCTTCACCGGTGGAATATTCCACATTCTAAAGGTTGATGCCAATCTTCCCACTGAACAACCACTGTAAAACTCCTCGTACGGCCGTGCTCAATAGAATGTTCTCGGCTTCGTAGGGGTTCTCAAGATGCAGTGATGCTGCCCGAAGTGCTACGAACAAAATTAAATCACAAACACGATTAAATGGTTTATAAATCGCCTCCTTTGCCGAGATGCAATGTGGCTGGAAATTAAAGACTTGGGGATCACTACGATGCTTATTACAAGGCATTTTTGTATGTACGATGTTCAACTTCTTTCACACCGTACATACCCAATTATGTTGTTCGGAGATGCGGGAATTTTTGTTTTTACTGGTGCAATGTCCGTATCGTATTTCTAGAGAGTTAATGTGTTACACCAGACACCAGAACAAGCAACTCACTTGATGAACATGATCATTTAATTCAAGTTTTGGCAAGTACCTTTTGCAAAAAGTTCACATTGTGTGCAAGTGTCATTTATACATACGGTACGTATACAACCCAACGATGGCAATCAGAATATATATTATAGTCGTGACAAACGAAAATAAATCCTTCATCAGGAATTGATTATAAACTAGATATGGATAGAAAAGTGTCGAACGCAAACTTTGTTCCGAACCTCGAATGAGTCAGCGTTGCAACACTCCGTGTCCCAAAAACTACCAAATACAAAAGTAATCATCTGGGGGAACCTTCAGAATGTTGGCCTCCAATAAGGACAATAACCCACATTGAAAAATGACTGGATAGTCTTGACTGCATAATCGTACACAGTACTTTACTGATGCTCAAGCCAGGATGGTTGCAATATGCGAATACTCAGAAACACCAAGCGGAATGATGTGGGTGGTCTGTGGAGTCGGAGTTAAGTATGCTGCGTGGAAGGTTAACCTCAAATAAAATGTCCCTTACTAATCCAAGGTTCATGTTTATGGAAAAAGGCCCCAAAATACCATTAAGTTATTTATTATAGCGAAATAAATGCCAAATATCATTTGCGGCGGGAGAAGATGTGGCTTGAAACTTGTGGTTGGGAGAAATTTCATTTGAAGCGTAGTTTTCTCGAGAGCTGTTCCCGAGTTGAGCCCCATCGCACGGTCAGCAGCTCCTCCCTCTACCAGCCCAGGGTTCTCAGCGCAACGTTCAACTTCTAACGGTACGCGTAAACTCGCTCGCTGATCGTGGACACACACGGGCTCGGCCTCGGCAAGTTAACGACTCGACTAACCAGTTAGAGGGATAAACAAATACATCTCCCCTCTGTGTGTACATGGTGCCGCTGAACGGGAAGTGATGGGCGTTGCTTGGTGACGTGATTCCCCATGAGCTGCGTCACGCTGCGCGAAACTCCTCGGCGGTTTCCCGGCTCAGGGTGGCGTGGGCCAGGGCAGCCAATGTCAAGAATATTAGAGAATCAGAATCGTTATTTATACCGGAGGAATCCGATGAGCGATAAAGCTCTTTTTCACACATGTCCAGTAAGGGGTGGGTGAGAACGTAATTTTTTTGGCAACTCCTATTTTTAAATCCTTTATATTAAGTTCACTTGCTTGCTTGCTTGCGTGCTTGCATGCTTGCTTGCTTACGACCGTGCAAACCTTCCGGTCGTTTTTTAACCCACTTCCCGTGATCCAATCGAGCTGACATTTTGCACACAGACTCGTTGTGCGTGACAATTTATTTTCGTGAAAATTTTTTTTCAAAATTTTCCACTTTTTAGGAATTTTTTTTTTCATATTTAATTTAAAATACCAATGTGATAAAAATGAAACTCTTACTCAAGAATAACAGAAATGAATAATAAAATAAAACCGATGCCACGCATATAAAGGATTTATAGTGATAAACTTTGTTTTAACGGATTAATTTTTTTGCCGATTAATTGCCTCAATAGACGAATCGTCCCAGCTCCAAATTAGATCTTCGTAGTCATATTTACACACAATTCGTGTAGGCGGCAACGAAACTACCGATGGACGAATCAATTGAGGGCTTGAGGTGGTGGGGGGTAGGGTATGCCCTATAAAAATGAAACCAATTTGACTGAAAATCCTGTATTGATATAGGAGTTGCTGACAGTTTGATAGTGCCATTTCTCCACGCGAGATGTGCCTTGCAAACCACGAACACAAATAGGAGAGGGCACAGGAGATGTTTTATAAATGAGCAGCATGCGGCTCAATTGAGCTGCTCTTTGTAAGGCAAGAAAATACGAGTCTCATAGGATTCAATGCGAGACAGAGTTAGCAGGCAATTGTTCCTACGTGCATGTGCGCTAGAGTGCTTGCGCGCGTACACATCGATGCGTGCACACGTGCGCAGATGTGCGTGGAGGCTCTGCTGGCAAACAAAATGGGCTGCGGTGACATCACCGCCACTTAGTAGGGAACGTCGGTTGCATTGCGTTATTCCACGCATCTGCCTCTGTGCGCACGTACACACACACACGTGTGCTGCAACATCAAGAATACTCCACGTGTGCGTAGTGTACAGAATTTAATTTGAAATGTTAATACATAAATAAATTTCAGTTAATGAACAGTCGGCAGTCTGTTTCACCACCGAAAAATAACGTTTAGGTCCACTGGCATATTGGTCGTCTGGACCGATGTTTCCCAGCAGCATCTGTTTTTAAAAGGCCACAGCAGCTTGCTGATGAGCATGAGAAAGTTGAAACCGGCCAGGAGTTTGCCAGCACAAACAAATACTACTGGAGAACATTCATCCAAGACCCCAATCGGGTTGATGGAGCTAAATGTTATTTATATTGTGGCGGCATTACAGATCATGTTACATGTATTTATTAAACCCACATCATAATAACCCACAGTCCGTCACGACGGCACGAGATCGTTTTTATACAAACATTGGTTCAGTAATAATGTACCCAACCACCCCCGCGTATCTTCCCCCCTTGCCATCGAAAACAGGAAGAGTGGCGTTCCCAGCATCACCAATATAACCCCACCTGGGGTTCACCCTCGATAAAATAAAACTACAACCCATATATGGCCACAGACCTGGAAAGGCCACATGATACGAGAACCTCCGCAGATCACTCGGCCTTCAAGTGCACGCTCGGCGGCACAGCGAGGAAGCTGCGTCAAGCCACTACTGCCCCAAGCCCGCGTCAGTGCAAAGGCTTAACGAAGCGCTCTGCAGTTTCGTGTAAACCCTCGTTGGATTCGTCCACGGAATAACCACCCCCCCCCCCCCCCACATCGCCTGCCGCCAGAGGTCGCAACCGGGTACCCCATACCCGTATCCTACCCGATACCCGGCTACCCGTACCCAGCCGGGTACGGGTACGGGTACCCGTTTGCGACCCTGGTGCGGCCGGGTACAGGTACGGGTAGACCGTGAGTCACTGGTGAGTCACCGTTTGTCACTCATTTCCCAACGTCTTGTCTCTTCTCACAATTCAAGTTCCTAGAATCAACCCACCCGCGCCTGCAACATGGCTTCATCCCAGAGGTCGCAATCGGGTACCCGATATTCGTACCCTACCCGATACCCGGCCAGGTACGGGTAGCCGGTTATCGGGTAGGGTACAGGTACGGGTACCCGTTTTCGACCCTGGTGCGGCCGGGTACGGGTAAGGAATCAAAACCCGTTTGCGACCTCTGCCTGCCGCGCCCCCCCGCGCCCCGCCCCAGGCAACTTCCAAACGCACGTGGTGTTCCAAACGAGACGCTCCCGTGCGGTCTGTCGGCCCATGCATGGGCAAGCGGGTGGGCGGGCAGGCAAGATAGCAAGTGCGGGCAATGTTCTGTCCACCGCCAATCACTCTTGCTTGTCGACGGGCTCGAGTCTCCATGCGCCGGTCAGGTAGCGCAGGCGGATGAAGAGCAGGTCCCGGCCCATCTGCACCCAGCTCCAGAAGGGAGTCAGCTTGGATCCTGTGGACAGAATTGCACGGTTGCTAAGCAATGGTAACGATAATAGAGGAGACGCGATTGCAATGATACGAAAGCGGAAGTGTCACCTTGCACGGTGAATACAAGGGGTTGGCGGTAGTGGGCGTAGTTACCGACGGCCGACAGCCGCCGACGGTAGAGATTCCACATTCCCACGGTGGGGTTCAGTCTCTCCGAAGCAGCGCTGTTGACTTGCGATAAATACTTTTTTTAAAATTTCGATTTAAAGCTTTCGTGACTGCAGGGATTCATCTTCTTGGTTCTTTCGGTAAAGTCACGTAGAAGGGAAATAATACAAATAAAACATAATAAAATACAATTCTCATGACGTTTCGGCCACAACGCAAGCAGCCGTCCTCAGGTGAAGAACAGGGCTGTCGGAAAGACAGCATCCGAATGAACCTGTTCATTCGGATGCTGAACAGGGCTGTCGGAAAGACAGCGTTCGAATGAACCTGTTCATTCGAACGCTGTCTTTCCAACAACCCTGTTCTTCACCTGAGGACGGCTGCTTGCGTTGTGGCCGAAACGTCGTGAGAATTGTATTTTATTATGTTCTATTTTTATTATTTTATTATTTCCCTTCTACGTGACTTTACCGAAAGAACCAAGAACACATTTTATTTACTCTGACGGGATCGTAGGCTACTAAGTTAACCTCAAAACGGGATTTGAACTCGGAACCTTTCTGATTCTCAGTCAGATATCCCAAGCAGTGCCATCCAGCTGGATGAAAAGTGACAGCTACACATGTGTGTGTAAATAAGTACAAGTACTTAGACCGCGTATTCAAGTGGGCAATCAACGTACCCTCAATCTCCGTCCACCTCACGGCCACCTCTGCGACAGGGATGCTCAGGCACTGTGCGATGTACAAGAGCTCAACATCAAAGGCCCTGATAGAAAAGCACAACAGCAAACACGTGTGTTAATACGACGCACCGAGCACGAAGTGCACCGAATGTTTATGGCCACTGCCGATGGAAAGGCCTCCACTAAATACGGTGTGCCTATGTATGTGTCTCTCTCTATGTATCTCTGTGATATCTGTCTGCTTATATGTCTGGCTATATGTCCTCTGGATCTGTGTTTTATCTCTCTCTCAAATTTAGCATTCTCAGGAAGAACGTAATCAACCAGGTAGGGTGTCGACTGTTATGTTATCCGACTCTCTGTTGTATTACATTTCTAAGTATACTAGATTTGTGTTTCTATTTCATTTATACCTGATGACGATTGCTTGTGTTGCAATCGAAACGTCGTATGCTAGTATTTAATTTATTATTTTCTCTTTATACGTGACTTTACCGAAAGAACCAAAGAGTAATTCCTGCAGTCACGAAAGCTCCAAATTAAGTTTGGTGCTAGGGAGCCCCTATAGAGGCTCTTGGTCTGCTTTCTGAGCTGGCCAGACATCCTACAAGGGGTGGAAGCAAACGTACTTAATCCCACCACACCAGAACTGTCGTGGATTCATCCTTTGGGCTGGCCATCGAACAAAGACAGTCACCGCACCACGCGCGTTCAGATGTGCTCCTGCGGGACGTCTGGAACGCTCTCCCCTTCTGATATTAGGAAGCCACTGGAGCTATGCACGTTAACATCTATATTGAGAACTTATTTCTTAAGGACTGCTTTTTGTGTTTCGTTTGCTTGTCCTTCCCCCGCACATCCGATTAGCACGGTTGGCTACATACGGTGCGAAATAAGTTCAATAGACATACGTACATCGTGAATTCTGCTGGGCGGGCAGAGGAGGCGAGATTTAAGAAACCTTCACATCGCTTCGATCGCCCCAGGCAAAATGACAAAACTGGCCCAACTCTAGGATCGCAAGTCCCAATTGTGCGAACCGCTGCACCACGGCAGCATCAAGATCACATCCACGCTGCGAAACATTTTTCTTCACGTGTTTTTCTGCTCTCGTCACAAACGTCCTTTATGCAGATATCTTTTACTCCCACAAACCCACGAGACGGAAAAAGAAACACATTTTTGCACAACAACACTCCCACTCGCTTGGGGTTTTTCTCCCACAACTACACGGCAGCAAGCAACGTTTTTCCCACTGCTGGCGTGCGCGGCACCGACGCCACCACTTGCACGTCGCGTATTTTTGATGCGGGCGAGCGCTACGACGACACTCCGTGGGATCGCGTCATGGAGATGCGTGGTGCATTTCAACAACCGTCTCGAACGCGTATCCACTTAAAAAAATTTACATTCACCCCCCCTACCCCCGTTGGGAAGGAGTTGAGTCTATCGCTCCGAGTCAAATAACAAATTCTCGCGTACACTAATGATTTACAGTATTGATCTCGTGCACCCCCCCCCACTACCTTTCATCATTCAGTTGAACAGAAACAGATTTATCAGGAAAACGACTTGAGTCATGGCTCTTTGCATAGGTCACTGCCCGCAACATTAGCCGACTAAAGATTTTTTTTACTACGTTACAGGGCGGTGCTAATGCGCTAATGGTGGTCTATTGTGTTTTTAATATTGTATTTCAGTCAGAAAAGTATCTTGCTGCATCTTCTTGGTTCTTTCGGTAAAGTCACGTAGAAGGGAAGTAATTATTTTATTATGTTTTATTTTTATTATTTTATTACTTCCCTTCTACGTGACTTTACCGAAAGAACCAAGAAGATGAATCCCTGCAGTCACGAAGCTTTAAATCGAAAAGTATCTTGCTGCAGTTGCTGTCCAAACACACGTAGGTCAGTAGTCATGTTGTTTGGAAATCCTCCAAATCAAGTTGTATTTATCAGTCACTTTCGCTTTGTTTGCAATAAAGCCATTGATCCAATTTAGTACCACATTAATTATTACATCTACAAAGAGAATTAACCGTGTCTTGAGCCAACCATGTAAATAATGATGCTATCTGTAAGGGAAGTTACTCTCTCAGACAAGCCTCCCACTACTTTTATATTCATTTGTAAACACTGCCAAGTCGGTAAAGAATTACGAATTAAACCTGGCCAAAGTTTAGGTGCCACTCTTTTTTTGTTCCTATTAAAAGAGTGAGCGATCCTGACTTGGTTCCAGATTCCAGACTTCAACTCGAGTTTGGTAACATTAGTAATGCACAATGGAAAATTAAACTTTTCATAGCACTCTGCACCCACTGAATAAGAACTTCGTGAAATTCTTTAAATTCTTTAAATGATAGCTCAACGAAGTGGCTTACAAGATAGAAATTTATAGCAGCCAAATACTCTAAATGCACATTGATTCTAAATGTGGAGGGAAAAACCGGAGGACCTGAAGAAAAAGCCACGCGACCACAGGGAGAACACGCAAACTCCAAATACACAGCAGCAGACGTCAGGGTCGGGATCGAACCCACGACCTCCTGTAAACCCGGCGAGGTAGTTAACATCTCGCAACGGCGGTGCCCCTGCCAGTGAGTTGCCACTATCTGAAAGATGGTGATGTGAAATTTGGTTGCCAGCGACAGTTTCAGATCACTCATGGTGCAGTCGGGAAATTCTGTGACATCGCATCAGCCACTGATATTTATGAATGTTAAACAAACCCATTGTAATGTGTTGGTGCAGCCTGGCTTCAAGGTAGTTGCGGGTAGAGCAATATTTAGCTTTTAAGAGCATATGTAATTGACTCAAGTTGATAGGCTGGAAACAAATATTTACTGAACATTACTTTAGGACAAAATGTTTTTCACCGATATTTAAAAACGGGCGGGTAACAATAGCTGGTAATGAGAAACGTTAAAAACACCGCTCGCTACAATCTACAAGATCACTATTTAAATAAACGGTTTATTGACTAAATATGTTTTTTTTGACTCGGTGCCACAAGGCTCCCTTTGGCCGTGCGGTGAAACCCGGTCTCCTCGTGGAGCCGAGTTTTGACACCAACGAGCGGCTCTGCCGTCTCCCCACAGCTCTCGGGAACGGTGACGGCAGCAACTGAGTCCAGCTGTCACGATCAGCCAAAGCAACGTACAGCGACAAGCGCTTTAGCAGAGGGAGGCCACGCGATCACGGCGCGCAAGCGACGCGCGTACAGACGCAACCGCCGTCGCGCGGCACGCATTACCGCCAGCAGGGGGTCGAACAAAAAAATAAAATAAAAAACCCTCGGAAGCTCCGACGGCGCTTTCGAGCTAAATTTGAAAGCAACCTCCGAAAGCGCGGCCGCAAATTACGCCGCCGGGGGGGCTTGCACGCGCGCGCGCGTGCGAGACAGAGAGACGGATAAACACGTCGCGTTCGTTTTTCACGTTTCCCACCCTCCCCCCGCCACAACTGCGGACGTACTCCGTGGGCGAGTCCAAACCAGATCCCCCGACGGTTTCTGAGAGTTTCTTCTTTGCCGCCCGCTGGGCACGGCGGCACCGACACCTGTCTGTTGCCGTTTCTGTCTGCGTTGGTGACCTGCCAAAGGACGCGGTGCCCAGTAGTGTCTGTCCGGGTCAACAGAAATGTAACGTCCGACACGGACGGGGCGACCGACGGACGGACGGACACAACGGCGCAGCGGAGGGGTTGGGGGGCTGCAGTAGCAGCTTGTGACCCTGGTGCCCAGGCAACTATCTCTTGCTTCCCCGCCCACCCGCCAGCTCAGTCGCCCGCCTGCCAGCCAGCCAGCCAGTCGGCCCACCCCTCGCAGCTCCCGGCACACATGCAGGCCGGATCGTGAGCTGGCACAGTCACCGGATTGTGTTACTGCCACGCAGCACATCGTGACCACCCGTCGCAGCACAAAGGGGGCCTTATTTCACTTTTAATTCTCAAACCACGCTGCCCAAAACGGGCTTTTGTTTGCTTATTAATATATATTTTTTTACATTTCATGTCCATGGCTGGCATGTGGCAGTTTCCTGTCAGTTAATTTCGGCAATTAAGCGAATGGAAAGCGTCTTGTGAAGGACGAACATGCGTGTAAAGTACCATCGCTTTTACACGCAGGCTTTAACAGGACCCTGCGGGGTGGGCTGGTAGGAATAATACTTAGTAGCGGTACAGAGATATCGACCGGGTATAGAGGAGTTAAAGAAAAAATTACTGTATTCTAGTGTAACGTTAATTAAAAGTGTTTGTTTTGACAAGAAACGCTGTGAGATTTAAAGACTCGTAGTCTTTCATTTCCAACACCACCCTCAACACCACCCCTCCCACGGACGGACGGACGGACGGACGGACGGACGGACGGACACATTAATCTATTGGTGGTCTGGTCCACTTCGTTCCTACCAGTAAAAGAACCAATATCATACACGCAGGCTTTAAAAGAACCAATATCATCCAAAGTATAGGTTTGTTGGGTTAGATAGCGTAACTATAAATGTGTCGTTAAACCCGCCACCAGCCTACACAGCCAATTAGTAAGGTTTGTCACGTAAACAGCACTTGTCAATCTGATTGTAAATATTGTGGATTTGTAAATGTTGTGGATTTGTAAATGTTGTGGATTTGCTCTCCAACACACCGGTGTGCTGTACGAGTACACTACTATACACTACACTACTACACTATACACTAGTGCTGTACAAGTAACGAATAGCCACGTTCTGTGTACGTGACAAGCCCCTTACTAATTGGCTGCGTCGGGTGGTGGCGGGTTTAACGACACATTTATATTTACGCGATCTAACGCAAAAAAAAAAAACCCTCTATTAGGGAGTACCATTGCTGCTGCGGTTATCTGCAAGACCGGTAAGCATCTCCCCTACTTGCTGGTCAATGTCAGGACCCAGTGTCTTCATTGAGCGGTCAACTCACCATAGAAGCTTGCGAACGCTGAGCTGCTGCTGCAGAATAACAACTCATCCTCAGAGGAGATCAATACTGGATGTCGGAAAACCATTTGCGGTACGGTATGCCGGCTGATGCAAACATCTGTGGTAGGTTAAAGTGTGGGTAACTTCCCAATCCGACTCATCCTGTGTACGTACAGTGCACGGTAAACCCGTGCCAACAAGATTTCACAAGAACTAAAGGGCTGGGTCCTGGGATTAAACCGTAGAGTATTATTGGAATCTTCCACAAAGTGTAAAGAGCGACAGGGTTCTTCTCTAACTGGGCGAGCCAAGCCACGTCCCAGAGAGCAATAACGGGCTCACATTTGGTTTCCAGATGGGTGAACACGGGAGGCAACTGTGGATACAAGGAAGCACTAACTTCAATTTGCCGCTAGTCTTTCTCAGTAACTTTTTTGGTGTTGCGAAATAATCGCGGGCACTTTTGCGGGGGCTACGGGGGGGCAGAAAGTAAACAACGGAACTTTCCGCCGATGCCCCGCGATTGGGGCGCAAAGGGCAACACGGTGGCAAGTGAGTGAGCGCGTGTGTAAACTCCGGCACAGATACTCGTGACAGAGACAGAGAATCCCTCCACCCCCACCCCCCCCATAGCCTTCAACAGCCTGTTGGGGCGAGTGCGGTTAGCGAACACCTATTGAGGGTGGCACGGCACACAAGGGGGTGGTGGGGTCACCACATGATGCCCGGCTGCCTTTGACTCATGGTTTTAAATGCCCGGCCAGGTACCCATTTGAGGTGGAGATGACCTCGGGGAAAGTCAAAAGACCGCTTCAGACATCACTCGCCGCTGACGTTATTTGTGGCGGCCACTTCAGGAATTGAACTCGGGTTGCCGTTACATACCTACCAGGCACTAATTTTATGCCAAGTCAAACTAGCAGAGGTCCAGACCATCTTCAGATATCAATCGGTATTCATGGGATGCAACGATTCAAGTAGATTAATACGCTCAAGATGCGTGCCACAAAAAAAAAAATCAACGTTTGTATTCGTGCACGTTGCATGCCGTGAGTTCACATGACCACAAGAGCTACTCAAGGCACCAACGTTTAAAAAGCAACGATTCTAGAATCCAAATCAGTCACAAGACTGCGACAATGCCATCAAATCGCAGGCCGAGCGTTAATGCCCGAGTCTCGCAAAGCCAGACGAAGAATTCTTTAGCGTCGAGTGACCCTTCTGCGAGCCACATAGCGGCAGAAAATCAATTATCAATAAAGGATGTAGGTATTTATTAATTAATGAAATTAGCCAGTGGCCCGGAACAGCTACTACGGCCGGAGGACATACCGGGCAAACGAGGGCTCGCGATATCGGCAAACACGCGATCGGCAACACCGGGGGGCGTGGGGGGGGGGGGGATTTTTCTCCGGCTCCTCCGGTTTTTCCCTCCACATTTAGAATCAACGTGCATTTAGCGATACATGGCCGCTGTGAATTTCCGCGCGACGACACGCCACTTCGTCGAGCTATCGATTTGGGAGTGGGCCCTTACCTGGTTAAAATAAAAAAAATTGGGAGGTCGGGTTAAGAGTGACGCGGATGGGTGGCTACACGGGGGGGGGGGGGGGGGGACGAGGGGGGGGGGAGAGATCCCCCCGCTCCGGCGTACCAGCGCTCGACGTGCAGGCTGGAGAAGGTGCGCAGGGCGGCGGCGCGGCTCAGCAGCTTGAAGCCGCACTGCGTGTCGCGCACCCCCCGCACGCACAGCAGCCACACCAGGAAGTGGAAGCCGTACATGAGCAGCGTGCGGAAGTAGGAGCGCTGCAGTGCCGTTGTGGGATTTGGTGGCGGTGGTGATCGGGGGGGGGGGTATGGGGGGGGGTAGAGAGGAGATGGGACGCATGGAGGGGGGGGGGTGGAAGGAGAGAGCGTTTAAAAGGGGGGCAGGGTTAGGATTGGGAGAGGTCAATATGGGGACGAGGGTAGGACACAAAAACAATCCAACCGAAATTACATAAAAATAACACATTTCTGTCCCAAGTTTATTACAGTCTTGCTCAAGGCATTATGGCAGAAAGGCGAAAAGTCAATTCGGAATGCTCGCAGAGCAGCGCATCACCTTGTGCGTGAGAGATGTCCCCACAGGAGACATCACAGAGATCCTTATGAGACCCCTTCATTGTTTTTTTATGCAAGCACGGCTCCGATACAGAAGTACGCTCGTCGCTCTGCAGCCAAAGCGATATTTTTATATTCTCAAAGTTGAGATTTCACCAAAATAAGTGAGATTTTTTCTTTCATACGTTGGCTTTTTTTGTGTGAAGTCATTGGCGACTGGGCTAAGACCATCAACTCCCTACACTTGAGAACCCGGTTTAATCACCAGTGGCTGAACCCCGGATTTGAAACCAGAATCCCTTAAAAAGATACAACCCAAAAAACAAACAGCTGTTATCCAAAAGGCACACGCACGAGGCTGTACGACAACACGAGTTTTAGGCATCATTAAGCACCGCCGGGGAATAAATAAATAATTTTAAAGTTGCGGTCAGACGACCCGACTCTCACTTCCGTGTTGCCACTGCATTGCCACTGCATTGCCACTGCATTTCCACTGCATTGCCACTGCATTGACACTGCATTGCCACTGCATTGACACTGCATTGCCACTGCATTGCCACTGGATTGCCACTGCATTGACACTGCATTGCCACTGCATTGACACTGCATTGCCCCTGCATTGCCACTGCATTGCCACTGCATTGACACTGCATTGACACTACATTGCCACTGCATTGACACTGCATTGCCACTGCATTGACATTGCATTGCCACTGCATTGCCACTGCATTGCCACTGCATTGACATTGCATTGCCACTGCATTGCCACTGCATTGCCACTGCATTGACACTGCATTGCCACTGCATTGACACTGCATTGCCACTGCATTGACATTGCATTGCCACTGCATTAACACTGCATTGCCACTGCATTGACACTGCATTGCCACTGCATTGACACTGCATTGACACTACATTGCCATTGCATTGCCACTGCATTGCCACTGCATTGCCACTGCATTGCCACTGCATTGACACTGCATTGCCACTGCATTGCCACTGCATTTCCACTGCATGACAGCATAACGGAACGCTCTCGAAGTGATGTCATTGGTGTCGGGGCGGTGCGGATGACTACGATTTGAGCATTTTCGAAGCTTCAGCGCATGGCGGGGAATGCTTGGGACAGGCAGCCTTGGGTAGGTATCTACACCGCACAGCCCTTTTGCTAATCCACTGCTGGATGAATCCCTCCCCCAAGTATCTAGAACATAGGCGCTCTGCTTTTTTTGGGTTACGTTTTTCTTTTAGCGACCCCCAGAATACAAGTAAATTTCACCCCCGCCCCCATCCCTACCCCCCTGGGCATCTCTCTTGGCAGCTCTCAAAGACATATTCCACATTCACATGGGCAAGGACCACAGTCTAACCGTGGGACAATCGCCGCTGATTTTCTAACGCGGCGGCGTCACTCTTTTTTATTGACCACGGGAGGATATATATGGCCGAACGGAATGAAATCAGATATGTACGCACGCACGCACACAAACGTAATACACGCCGAAACACAAATTGGGCGGTGGCTCCCGGCAAAAAAAAAACCCTCTGTGCACCGCATGCTGGTGCGATTGTCGAAAACGGGCAGATAATAACGAGACTTGACGTTAAGAGCAGCTGCCCAACTAAATACGCGTGACGAATATTGACTCCAGAGCGGAAGCTAAGCGACGTCGAAGAAACAATTCCGCACGCTAATGAAGAGCGATTCTTTCTTTTTGGTCGCGCTTTGCTACGTCGGACGTCGATGTGCATGCACGGCAAATTAGATGCACGTCAAAAAAAACCTCGCTGCCGCTTTTCCGTCGCTTACGCGCGCAACCGAAACATGACAGGAAATCTCCTAAAAAAAAAATGCACGGTTAAATAAGCACAACTCTGCTCTGTGTCTCTGAAATATAATAAATGCACATTGTGTTCCGTCGGCCCGGCTGGCTGTCCAGATGCAAACATTAACCAGCGGCATTTGTTTAAGCAGGTGAAGGTCTGGGTTTTTCGACATTCTGGGTCTCATCAGCCGAAGTCTGGCTTGGGTTTGTATCTCCAAAAAAAAAAGAGGAGAGGAAAACGGGAGATAAAAAAAAATGAGAGAGGAATATTTTTGCCAAGACATTTGAAAGGAAGGAAGCAGGGGAAGCAGCCGGAGAAGAACAGATGCTGCTTATGAGAGGACAGCTGTGCGGGAGCGCGGAATCGCGTGAACACGTGGCGGGTGTATTTGTGTCTACACGAGACTCCAGCGAGCCAGCCCGGGTTAGTATGATCACCCGAAACGGACTGGGCGTGGCAGATCCATGTCAAACCCACGCACCCACGCACACACGTTTTTGTTATAGCAGTCTGCGCTCGTTCTACGACCAGCGTGCAGTGGACAGAGCCCGCTGTCGATCGGTAGGCCCTAATAGCCGCACAAGCAGCATTGAGCCGTAGAGTATTTCCTTATGGAAGGCCACTGCTGAGCAATGTTGTTGTAAAATAGCAGTCTTGCCCACACGGTTTAAAGTGAAAATACATTTGGCCATAGAAAGCTTTACGATACACTCAAATAGCACGTTCTGTTATTGAAAGCAATCTATGTTACAACAATATTTTATTTAGTATTTGTCCGCCCTCATCATATATTCATCATACCAAACTGAGTAAGAGCTTATTTTTGACTAGCAGGAAGCAGGGAGCTGTGGTATTGATGATAAGCTACGCATAAGTAATGACTTTTGACCGAGGTCAAAAAAACGGGATCAGCATGTTACAGCGTGCTCATCTTACGTCTTTAAATGTCTAAACTCTCTTTCAGTTCCTCTCAATTTCTGTTGAGCTCCATGTTGGGAATAGTTTGTAAAATAAATAAAAACGCGGGTAACACGTGGGAGACAGAGTTTCCGTGGAGATCTAAACAAAAATTGCACAGGTATTTCTAGTTTCACACAATCAGATTCTCCAAGTGATGATAAACAACCTTAAGGAGGGCTTTAGACAGGTCAGTCACTTATTGCTGGATCTCTCTCCGTGATCATACAATACAATCTGTGTTTATAAAGCATCTAGATGTGATCACAATTCAAGACTACTGTCGCGGTCACGTATTTCGTTCTGGGCAGTCCCTCGATTTCTCACAGCGCGCGATCCATCTTCGGGCTGCCAATGCCCATCTCATTTTTTAAATCCTTTATATTAAGTTCACTTGCTTGCTTGCTTGCGCGCTTACGACCGTGCAAATCTTTCGGTCGTTTTTTAACCCACTTCCCGTGATCCAATCGAGCTGACATTTTGCACACAGACTCGTTGTGCGTGACAATTTATTTTCGTGAAAAAAAATGTCCATAACTTTACACTTTTTAGGAATTTTTTTTTATATTTAATTACCAATTGCGTAATGGTGGCAGGCAATCATCTGACCCATAGGTGGCAGCCATCTCAAGCCAGAGGACGAGAGGACTCTAGCCGCCACGCATATAAAGCATTTATAGTGAAAAACTTTGTTTTTACGGGTTAATTTTTTTAGAGCTGCTTTTTGTGTTTAGTCTTGTAGTTGTTGTTGTCCTTCCCCCGCAGAGTCTTAGCGCGGTTGGCTACGTACGGTGGTGCGAAGGAAGTTCAACGTACACAACAACAACAACAACAACAACCGCCATTCGCCACTAAGTGGCGGTGACGTCACCACGATGCTTGTGCCAGGCCAAGTGCACCTTGAGGCCACGTGAAGTGTCGAAAGCCCGCTGGCAGGAGGTCACGGGGCAGACCCAGGTGCCACTGGTCGACTGACCGAGATGACCGAGATGACTGGCTGATGCACCACCTGTGCCCCCTACTGTGCCAACTTGCTGTGCTTTAGCCACCCGGCGCTCCGCTCGTTGTTGTGAGCGTCGCTCCTCCGCCCTCCGTTGTTGTTGGAGGGCGACTGCCTCCAACTGCCCAGTAGCGTCCTTCACGAGCCTCCTCCACTGAGGCCGATCTTGACACCGCTGGTACCAGTCATCGGCAAGTCCACTCAGCTCCACGTCCTCCTGTACCACATCACTCCATCTCTTCTCCAGCCCGTGCCGCGCCCGTCTAGCCCCCTCGATCCGGCCGAACAAAAGCTGTTTAGGCATGCGGTGGCTGGGCATGCGGGCTACATGACCCAGCCAACGCAGCCTTGCCTGCCGGAGGAGCTCACTGATGGGACTTTGCCCAGATCTTTCAAGGATTTGTGAGCTCCTCACACAATCCAGCCTGGTTAAACCCAGGATGGATCGTAGGCAGGCCAGCCTAAATGTTTCCAACCGGCGAAGATGCTCCACCAGGGGGGTCCACGTCTCGCAAGCGTAGAGAAGGGAGGGAATGACCGTGGCCGAGAAGACCTGAAGCTTCGTGCGGAGCGACAGACCAGGTAGCTTCCACACAGCGTTACGCAACCGATGAAAAGATATTGCCGCTCGACTGATTCGGAGTGAGACCTCTGCTGATAGACTGGAGCCGGTCATAAGCACACTGCCCACACACACGCGTACCCACATACGTCGCATGTCTCGATGGGGAAAAGGGATTAGGCTCACTCCAAAGTAGCGCTTGTGGGCGTTTATCAATAATTAACTTTGTTTCAGCGCAAAATAGATTTAAAACAAAATTGATTCTCTTAGGAGAAAGAGAGTAAACTCGAGTGGACATCCTTGTTGACGACCGTATGTGTTTTACTCGTTCCGGATAAAAAATAACCGTGTTGGATTAATGACGAAACCCTGTTGTTGGTCGCCTTAACGTTGTTGGCCGATTCAAGAGGGAACACGGGACGCTTGATTATTTGTGAGTTCACGTTTGCGGCCGGTAAGATTGTTTTATCATCTCCCCATTGTCAAAATTTAAGAGAAGGCATATTAGGAGCCAATATTGAAATACGTGGGGATATCTTTTTACATTGATAAATATAGAACGCTTAAATGCCCTTTTTAAATATTCTTGGTGCTTTCGGTAAAGTCATGTAAATGGCAAACAAAAAAACTAAAAAATCTAATAAAAATAATCAAATTGAATTATAACAATAATAAAATATTCAAATAATAAATTGAAAATAATAAAATAGAATATGAATTCCTGCAGTCACGAAAGTTTTAAGTCAAAATTTTACTGCCCTTTTTAACTTTCGTACCTGAGTGCAGCGCTCACACCAAGCTCCACTTTGCTACAATTTGGCATTCGTTACATTTTTATAAACCAGTCGTAAATTAACCGTTCAGCGTTGAACTGCTCGAATATCGCCTCACGTTTTCTAGACCCTCAAAATACACAACTATTAATGTTAGCGTAAAAAACGCCGTTCAGTTTTTTGTCCAAAATAAATATCCTGCTTGCCAACGAGGCGGCGTGTTGCGACGGTTTAGCGGATCGAATCTCCCCCCTCCCGCCCTCCCTTCAAGCAATGCCGAGGGTCGTCATGATGTCACAGGGTATTTAACATCCACTTCATAGCAGATGGTTGCACGTTGGTAATTCGCCCCCCACCCCCCCCCCCCCCCCAAAATCATCACATGGTGGCTCGGGGAAGTAAGCACAAGGACACCCCACCAATATCGAATGACATTACGTCTCGGTAAAAAGGAAAATTAGCGCACGGCTCGCTGCCCTCTTGGAAGAGCTGCATCGCCCACAGTGCCGCTCGGTCCCGAGTAATGATTCGCGCAAAAGGCGATTTCTAGACGCCACAAGGAGTGTACCAGGAACCAGACGATCGGTCCTCCCGTCAAGCAAGGCAGGACCGATTGTATGGTGACAATCGCGCCTCTTGCCGTCTAGAAATAACCTTTTGCATCTATTAGAATGCTCTGTGCTACTATCATTTTGTTTCCAGCCTGCACGCACACGCCTGTCTGATGAGTGTCTCAACATTTAAAAAAATTGTTTCGGAAATAGTTTGAACTGTAGTCAACTACGATCTCCGTGTGGGTAGCAACTCCCCGGCGCATGTTTCCAATGCACAAACTCCCAGCAGCTGGCGAACGCCGTGCAGTTCTGCAGAGGTTCCTAAATAAAGCCTCGCCGAGAACCCCAAACACTACGCCCACACATCTCTGAGCTGCCAACAAAAACTATGGTGACTGTGTTAACCCCCTTCAGAACAGCAGAAACTGCTGCCTGCGCACACCTCTGCCACAAAGGGGGAGATTAAAGATGACCCACGGTGCGGTGACCGTGGCCACCAGAACACAACGATGGACAGACATCTCTACCAACTTGCATTCTCCGTCCCCGCTCTCTGGCGACTGCGCGGAATTAATCGCGCTACTCCCGATGCCATGACGTGACTCGCAATCTTAATCCTGGGACGTACACATTGACACGAGACGTGGCCATGCGTTATGACGACGGAGGAGCGCAGCGATGCTCGAGTGTGCGAGCGGCTCACCTGAGCGATGGAATCCTGCTCTAGGTGGGCACGGGAGCCACAGGAGATGGCCAAGAGACCCGGCTGGCAGGACAGGGAGACAACGTGGGTGTTTGTTTACACGGCGGCTCGGTTAGCGGTCAACAAAATCGCAGCCAACGAAATCATCGTGCATTTTTAGACCGGTGTTGTTTTTAAAACGAATACTTTCAAAAAACGCCTTCGGATTTCATGACGTGAATTCTGTATTTTCTCACGCCGTTCGTGCAGCTAAATGTAACCCGCGCCGTGAAATGGTGCGGTCGACGGGAAACCCAAACTCACTTCTCTCCCCAGGATCTCCTGTTGTGCCGCCTCCAGTTTCTCCAGGTCGGGGAACTTGGTGGCTCCATCGGCGTCTGCCATGAGCAGAGACTCTCCACGCGCACAGAACATGCCCTGCGTTGCGGGGGAAGAGACATGTTGCCCGTCACACCGGCGTTCTTCCACCACTCTCCCCTGGCTCAGAGTAGAGGTCGCAACCGGGTACCCAATACCCGTACCCTACCCGATACCCGTACCTTACCCGATACCCGGCTACCCGTACCCGGCCGGGTACGGGTACGGGTAGCCGTTTGCGACCCTGGTGAGGCCGGATACGGGTACGGGTAGGCCGTGAGTCACTGGTGAGTAACCGTTTGTCACTCATTTCGGGTAGGGTATGGGTAGGGATACCCGGCTACCCGTACCCAGCCGGGTACGGGTACGGTTACCCATTTGCGACCCTGGTGGCGCCGGGTACGGGTAAGAAATCAAAACCCGTTTGCGACCTCTGGCTCAGAGACAAAGTTCCCCCGCATGGCCTTTAAGAGACGATCGGGGCAAATGCTGTTAACGAGCACCTATTCATGCTCGGTCACCTTTGGCAGGACAAAGGCACACAGCACCAGGTACTCATTTTAATGCCAAGTCGATCTCGGGGAAGGCCCAGGACCGGTTCGGACATCACTCATAGCCCATGTAAGTAAGTGGTGAACCATAAATAGAACTCAGGCCTTGACTTAAAGCTTTCGTGACTGCAGGAATTCATATTCTTGGGTCTTTCGGTAAAGTCACGTAGATAGGTTCAAAGAAAATAACAATGAAGAATAAAAAAACTACGACGTTTCGATTTCTTGTGTTGCGATAGAAACGTCGTAGTTTTTTGTTATTTTCCTTGAACCTATCCACGTGACTTTAGCGAAAGACCCAAGAATAAGAACTCAGGCCGCTTGGATCCGGAGCGCAGTGCGCTAACCACAGCGCCACCGCTCCCCAACTCTTGTACAAAACACAAGACTCACGCGCACACACACACACACACACGAGACACGCAATAATTCACACACACAGAGACGAGAGGATCTGTCACAATTGTGATTCAATTCGAGATGGAATTCTTGTTTCGTTTGTACCGTCTGCAACTTTCTGTCTCGTCTGCTATGTCTTGTTCATCCTGTCTTCTCCATTCCCGTTAGCCAACATGTTAGATTTGCATACAAACTGCATGATAAGTTAATATACTCTCAGTACGAGCTGCAGCATATCTCGAGCTTAATAATGGACTCTTAATCAGTCGATGCATTGTTACACAACACATTATTGTTACATTAACAGCAAAATATTCAGAATTATGCAAAAATTGTGCTACACTCACCCCGTTTAGCAAATAAACTTTCTACGCTTGCACGAGACATGTCGTCTCCGTTGCCACAACCGTCAAGCATCTCATTTCCAAAATAAACCTTGAAAGTCCTTTATGTAGCCAGGGAAGCCTCTAAAAGTTGCAAGACCCTTGTTTGTCCAATTCCTTGTTGGGCTTTTCATTGCATGTGGGAGGAAACGGTTATACCCAAAGCCCACAGCGGGCAGCAAGGATGCACACAAAATAAGAAATCGAGAATGAAGAAGTAATGAGAATATTGGTACGGGCATGCAAGGCAATGTCTGGGTTTGCACCAGCTATTATGTTGCAGAAATGATATTCCTCGTGTGCAAGAGTTCATAACGACTTGACTTTGCACGTGCTTTTGAATTCTATCATTACACCCAGTTGGCAAAGATCCTCCGTGGACTTGCCACAGCCTATCTCTCCCCTCTCATCTCATTCTACGCCCCTCCATGGACTCTTTCTGCTCCAGAAACCAAGGCCCTCTGTTGAAGCTCCCAGCGAACGTTGTCTTCACGAGTGCTGCTCCTATGACTCCATGTCTCTGTCCAAATCCAGGTTCAAGAGCTCCCTTTATCTCTGCCTACGACCTGCTTCTCTCTTAGAGAATAAATAAAAGCGTACGGTGTCTTGAGATCTTAGCCGAATTTCGATTGCTGTACCGACACAAATGGTACTTGTGCTGCACCCGTATATATCCAGCTGAACCAATCACGCACTACGCACCATATCACCATCTCGCGCGCTGCAGAATTTCCTCGGCAATCTTGCCAAATCCACCTCACCGACGATGTTGACGAAGCTTTTGTCGAATACGCTCCAACGTTATGGAGCCATATTTTGACGTGAACTTTGGTTGTTGAATTCTAAGCAATTGTTCAAGAGCGTGGCTCTTCCACAAAGGCATTTTCAATTTGAGCACAGTTCATCAGGAGAGTGTCTGTGTGCGTGTGTGGTTATTGATTGGATGCAGGACCTGGGTGAATATGCCTAACAGGCACTTTGGGTATGGTGTGTGGGATGTGTGATGGGTGTGGTGTGATGAGTGTGGTGTGTGGGATGCGTGATGGGTGTGGTGTTGAGGATGTGTGATGGGATTGGTGTGGAGGATGTGTGATGGGTGTGGTGTGTGGGATGTGTGATGGGTGTGGTGTGGTTGGTGTGTGAACGATGCATTTCCGTAAGTTGCAATGTAACAATGTGTTATGGATGAGCTAACCGACAAGCAACGAGGGAACAAGACAAGCAATGTCTCCCATGCCGTTCAATTCAGGTTGCTGAAGGCAGAGACCACAGATTTGGGGTGGGTGTACAGTACAACAATGGGATTTGCTGCACTGCACTCTGCTGCTCGCCGCGCAGTGCCCCCGGCGGCGGACACCCATCCAAGCACCGTCCAGGCTCAACCCTGCTTAGCTCCGAGCTGTGACGAGATTGGGCGCGTTGCGGGCGATGTACCGAGACTCGTGCTTGGCGTGTCGACGCACAGCGCTTTGCACGTGCGTCGAGTAGTGGGGTGGCGACGTACGTAGTACGTGTGTATGTATGTTGAACTCTTTTCGCAACCGTATGTAGCCAACCGTGCTCATCGGAGGTGCGGGGGAAGGACAACAAACTAAACCTAAACAAGTAGTTCTTAAAAAATGAGTTGTCAATTTGCATTTAAAAATGGATAGCTCCAGTGGCTTCCTAATATCGGAATGAACAGCGTTCCAGACAGCCGCAGCAGCACAATGTGTGTGTTAGGTGGCGCGGTGCGGTGAGCGGGGATGCCGGTGTGATGCCTACCCGCTTCACGGCGCCGCCCTTGCCGCGGTTCCGCTGCAGTGTCAGCACCCGCACCCTCTCCACCCCAAAGCGCTTCACGTAGCCAAGCGCCACCTGTTACCGCACAAGCGGTGAAACGGACGCAGGACCACAACACAGAACAACGTTCGATTTAAATCTATCGTGACTGCAGGGATTCATCTTCCTGGTTCTTTCGGTAAAGTCACGTAGAAGGGAAATAATAAAATTATAAAAATAAAACATAATAACATAATTCTCACGACGTTCCTGTTCTTCACCTGAGGACGGCTGCTTGTGTTGTGGCCGAAACGTTGTGAGAATTATTTTATTATGTTTTATTTTTATTATTTTATTATTTCCCTTCTACGTGACTTTACCAAAAGAACCAGGAAGAAGAACAACGTTCGTTTTGTTTGCCACTTCTCAGACTCCCTGACAAGCCGTGAGCATTTGCGGGTTTACACCTTTTTTTTTTTACCCAAAATACATTCCAATTTTGCGTCAAGCAGTCCCCCTCCGTAACGTTTATCATCGCTAGGCCATGAGCTAAAGATGCATAAATTTGGAACCCTTGCAAGGGCAGTGCATCAGCAGCTGATGCTGGAGAAGAGCCTGCAGAAGTTGGTATCACAGAACTACATCTCCTCCTCCTTCTGAGAGCCCTTTCAACGACCTCTTATCTACACGAGGGGGCAACTGCAATTTTCCATACGTCCTGCTGAAGAGATTTTCATCGCGTGTAAGTCAAAAACTAAATCATTATCAGAGGTGGAAATTTGCCAAATTAATTTGCAAACTCAATTTTATCCGGCGCGTGTGTGTGCAGTGATTGACGACCAGGCTGAGATCATCAAACAATAGACTCGCCAACCCAGTGTGGGAACCCTCCTGGATGGGAACTTGCCAGCACGATACAAGCAAAGACAGAAAGGAGGTTTTATTTGCTCAGGGCCGATGATGCTGCTGCAATTATTTCACCTCCGTCGTTTTATCTTTGCTGCCGTCATCCACCACGATCAGCTCGTACGAGAACTTCCCGTCGCGTTTCTGCGCGACAGAAAATATAACAAGCGGAGACAGACGATGCCTGTTAGATGCACACACGGAGACAAAGATCACCCCCCCCCCGGCCGCCCCCTTGTATCGCCTAGAACACACTCCTGTTGCGAGTAGCACCTATTGAGGCATGACGCCCGGCCGCCGCCGCCGGTTTCACACGCCGGGGCAGGTACCCATTTAAGGTGGAGTTGACCTCGCGCAGGAGGTCAAAAGACTACTTCAGATATCACTTGCCCCTGATGTTAGCTGTGGCCAGGAATTGAACTCAGGTTGCAGTTACATACCTCCCAGGCACTCCTTTTATACTGGTAGGAACATCCTGGTTACACCAGCCCACAGGGGATTATTGTGTCCGTCCGTCCGGGTGGGCAGGGGCTGGGTGGGGAGGGTGGGGAGGGGAGGGGCTGGGTGGGGAGGGGCTGGTCACCCCGTGGTGCCCTTATAAAACTCAACGTTTAACCTACTCACAACGGCTTGTGCCCGCCCTCACAGTCGGCCATATTTGCGGAATACACCACGCCGCCGTTGACCCTGGCCATTGACCGAGCAACCCAACGTTCCTACCAGCTCCCTCCACAGGAATGTGTTTATTATGACGGAAACGGTTCGAGTGCTATGACCACCACCATGACAGATTGCCTTTTGACTCCGCATTGCTGTTTCGAACTCCGCCACGGTGGCTAGGAGATGTTGACTACCTCCCCGGGTATGCAGGAGGCCGTGGGTTCGATCCCGACCCTGGCTCGTGTATATTTGGAGTTTGCATGTTCTCCCCGTGGTCACGTTGGATTTTTCTCCGGGTCCTCTGGTTTTTTTTTCCCTCCACATTTAGAAACGTGCGTTTGCAGTATTTGACTGCTCTACATTTCCACACAATAAGCCACTTCGTTGAGCACCATTTGTGACCAGGTCGTTTCTGACAGAGAGCGATGTAGCTCATTGGGCTTTACCTGGCAGTTTATTTGCACACTGCACCAGGTACTCATTTCAGGCAGAGTTCACTTACACACCACACACAACATACATACACGCGCACACAGGCCTACAGTTCACTTGTACATATGCACAAACCACAAATTGAGAACAGCCCTCTTCTTGTTATTTTAACCTTGTTATTTTGCACTCAAAGGAATAACAGTGACGCAAACGCCACTCCCTTTTCCACAGTTGATTTCGCCAATCCTTAACGAACGTTTGTCACAGAGCAGTGGGTTTACATTAGAGCTGGATTATACAATTATTTAAGTAATGGATTATCGGTTTGATTACTCTCGACCGATCAGACATCACTGAAATAGTCGGGGGGGGGGGGGAAACGTCTTACCCCTGTTCCTACATGTGCCGCTGGATGGGAGGTAATGGGGGGAGGGGTCCTGGTGACCTCATCGGCATCATCACAACGGTCACGCTGGGCGTGGCTTTAAGGGGGTTTCCTGCCTTCGGGAGGCAGAATGTGGGGGCGGGCCGCCATTTCGACCACGAGAAAAGTAGTCGGTGACAATCTTTAACCGATTCGTGGACGAATCATCCCAGCTCTAGTTCACAATGTGCCGAGCAGGCAATGCGTGTTGTATGTATGTTCAACTTCTTTCGCACCGTACGTAGCCAACTGTGCAGTTTTAAAGAAGTGAGTTTTCAATCTAGATTTAAAAGTGCGCACCTCCAGTGGCTTCCTAATATCGGAAGGGAGTTCCAGACGGTGGCAGAAGTGGATCTGAAAGCGCGCGAGATGCAGTGACCGCCTTTGTTCAATGGCTAGCCAAAGGCCGCTGCGAGGATGACCGGAGTTCGCGTGATGGTAAGGCATCGCACCAGCTTTCTTTACAGGATGACGATTTGCTACTGGTGGGATTACAACGCACAAAGAACAGTCGTCACAATTCGGAGAATCCACGCTTTGTCGTGGCCTACAGCTCATGTGGGCAGGTGGCGTGTGGCTCATAGCACGGCCCGGCGGCATGCTAAGAGATGGACTGACAAGCCACTCCCTTTTCCGTTGTCATCAAGGCCACGGCAGAAGGGGAGGGTGGTTGACTCATCGCATCTGGTTTCTGACGCACGTGGCTTGGCAAGAAAAACACACAGCCAGATGCTAACCACCACACCCCCCGCCCGCCACCTCCTTGTTGGCGAGGGGTGCGTGAAAACAAGTGGATGATAGCGGCAGAGCTAACTCGCCTACGCAGATGCGCGCACACACACACAAGGCCAGCACGTGTAATCGCGCTGATACCACAGTGTGCCAAATTTTAACAAGTTATTTTTCTTCTTCTGCCATTGAAAGGAAAGTTCGTCACATTTCGGCCAACTGGCTTTCTTCAAGAAATAAAAGAGGCTTACACGGAGAGAGAGGGAGATAGGAAGAGCGCGAGAGAGGCAGGACTAGAATTGAGCTCAACTTAGTTCCTGTAGAAGGTTCCAAGTGCAAGGAGTGAAACGTCGGAACACTGCATCCGCCAACGCACAGCACAACCCGAAAACACAATATTAAAATCGGTAATCACACACCAGCCTGCTCTCCTTTCAGTCGTGCCATGCGGGTCGCATATATGCACAGCGCCGTGCCATGTCGACGTATTACGCTCGCAGATGCCCTTCCCCCAACATCCTCACGCCTGCCCCCTTCCCTCCCCTCCACCCGACCTTCCCTTCCCCTAAGAGCTGGCCCTTGCATCAATAATTCAGGACGTGGAGTAACGGAGGAGTGAGCGCAGGGGTGAGTGGGTGGCTGCCGAGAGAGGAGGGGAGGAGGAGGAGGGGGCATGGAATGGATGGCGAGGAACTGGACTGGGTAATGGATAACACGAAGGTGGTTGAGCAGTGCCGTCTGCAGGGGACACCACAGAGGGATTGGGCAGAGGGGAGAATGGTAGAAGCAATGAAACGGGGTTTTAGGGAGAGTGAAAACAAATTGATGTGCTGGGGCCACAGCTTCAAATCTGTAGCTGATGAGAAAAGCTACGGCATCAGAAACGTAACCACAGGCTGGAAACAAAAAGAGATGATCACACAACGGTGTGCAGCACTGCACGTGCTGCGTAAAGCTCTCGGCCTTATCCAGACCACCGGCTCAATAGAACTCAATCTGTGGCCAATGAAGTCATAAAAGAGCTCAATTTTATTAGGCAAGAGCCCTCATCAGGAATATATAGATAATTGTTTAGGCATATTTTCACGTGTGTACGCTACGATTTTGATAGTTTATTCCACGTGTTTTTGTATCGCTCGCTTCTGCATCGCTCCATTTGTCTTCTCGACTCAGGCCTCCCTTGGCGAAGCGGCGGTTCAATCTCAATAGGCTCTCCTTACCCGGTTACAAATAAAGACTGCGGGCGATTGATTTCGTGTAGATGTCGTCACCGCCGCAGGGACAAACCTAGGCCAGACCGGAAGGCGTGAATTTGGCACCAGCGATGCGCGCGTCGCACACTCCGCTAAGCCGTGGCCTCCGCGATAAACGACAACAAAGCTGGCCAGCTTCTTCCTGTGCTCAACACCACCCACAACCACCGCCTTTCGTCAAGGATGCGGTGGGTGGTGGAGTGGGGGGGGGGTGTTATTAATTATTAATTTACATCCGACACTTCTTTTATTCCTTCTTCCCCTGCCCTGCAGGCACGGCGTTTCAGTCCGTGCCTCCCTGCGAGGTGTGTTCTGGGTGGGGCGACGCGGGGGAGGTGTTGGATCTGGGGGGGGGGGTGGAGGGGGTTGATGGGGGTCAGGGGGGGTCCCTTAAGGAGGGAGGCAATGGCTGGATTAGTGATACGAGAGGAAGCTTACATCACGGTTTTGGGATCAATTAGCGTCGGGTTTTTTTTTATGTTGGCAACAGCTGCGAGAGGTGCTTTTACTCGGGGAAGAGGGCACGGCGAGACCAAGAGGGAGGCAAGAGAGGACGGGGCAGCGGGGGGGGGGGGGGGCATTTTCCTCAAGAGGGCTCGACTGTAGGAGAATGTTTCTTAGAAAATAAAACAATTAAACATTGAGACTCCTTTGTCAATTCACTGCTGAATGAAGACATTAGCCCACAACATGTCAGCCGTAAGGCGGGGGGGGGGGGGGGGGGTGTTGTTTTACCATACTTCACCATGCTGGTCGGTGCGGGTGCGGCGAAGGGTGGGGCCGGGCAGGGGCAGTTCACATGTCGCTCGTCAACTGTTATCCGCGACGGGGGATCGAACGCAGATTGACAGGTTCGTCGCGTGGTGTGCTAACCACTGCACCGCTCACCACTCCATCCCCTGTATGGATCCGTAACTCAAACACAGAGCGGGGTGCATGAGATGCGGCTGCTTGCGTTCTGAGAACACAGCGAGCAGTCCTTCGTCTGGATGTGGGGGGCACATGGCTACAATCCAGCACCTTCGAGGCGCGGTTGACAGATGCCATGCGGTTCATTCTGGGCATGAGGATGCCCTGGGCCTGCTGAAATTTACAAGATGTTTCCACAACGCCTGTGCGGATGTAGTACTACCCCCTCACCTGCATGGGGTTTCTCTGGGCATGCCTGTTTCCTCTACCCCAAATGGCAATCGCTTCCCGAGAAAACGTTTCGCGACTCGTTAATAAACGCCGATTGCAGGTCACAAAAGTGACGTGTCGCCTTGGTAGACTATGGGAACTTAAACGATAAATTAACAATAAGCGTTTTTTTTTTAGCGTAAAAAAATTACGTGTTAAACTAACCGATTATAAGCCTTGGTCCAGAAAACCTGCTGGCTCGTGAACCCGCGTCTCATTTTATGTTATGCGTTAGTGGTAAAAAAAAAAAAACCCTTGTCAGATAATTCATTAATTATTAAAGATTTGGGCAGGGAGGTTCTCAGACAATTATCAGAATCTTTATTTAGACTGGAGGAGGAATCCAATGAGCTATGAAGCTCTTTTCCACAGATGTCCAATAGGGGCACTTGGTCAGAAACAAATTGCAATAACTGCAAAAACACGATAGGAGCCCAATGTATAGGAAAGGTAAGAAAATCACCATTTTTTTTTTACCAAGAAAAGCCCAATGAGCGATGAGCTTCTATTTCAGAAGCGATCTGGCCACGAATGATAGCTCAACGAAGCGGCTTATCACAAGGACATTTATAGCAGCCAAACAATCTCAATAATCTTAACGCATTTTAAAACGCGAAAGAAGAATTCGTTCGAGCTGCAATTCATGACGAGGTTCACATTGGAATTTAAGTTGACGTGCCGTAACCTCGCAGTCAATAACAGACGGGTGAACGTGGCCAACACGAAGATGGAAATTCTGGTAAACAACTCACTTAGGAGGCTCGTGAACGGACCGCAAAAAATCACGCGACTTGCCAAAATGTACGATCTGCTAATGTGAAATAAATCAACCAAATCTTTCTAATCCCAAGCTCCTTGGGCTTCCTTGGCAGACCTCGCCCCTCTTGAGCGAGTACATTTTTTTGTAAAGTAGAAGAAAAACAATGTTGCTTGTACCGTGTACAATACACATCGTGGCACAGGTAAGGTGTTACTAGAACATGCACTATATCATGTGCGCTTCATAAAAAAACGTGATTAGAAGTTATCGTAAAAACATGCTATGAAAAGCATAGGCAGAGTTAACGGTCTTTTTTTTTAAGCTCACACCCATATTCATAAAGTGTTCATTGTGAGCAGGAAGCACTGCAAAATGTTAAAAATCTGCAGAACATCACATTGGCATGACATTTTAAAGTACATTTTAAAGTACAATTATCAATTTCGATTTAAAGCTTACAATTATCAACACCATTGGAACCTCATTTGCCAGTAAAAAATATGATAAGTGGTTTTTAACCCTTCTATCTGGCAACAAAAAACTTAGTGCGCCTTTTGGCGTCATCTGGTCCAACCCATGTGAGACCAGGCTCTAAGGAAAGCTGTCTCGGGTGTGGACCAATGAACTTCAAGGACAGTGCACATTATCAGAGTTGTGTTTTTTGTTTGCATATGACTGCAGGTATTGTGGTCTATGCAAACATGACTCCTTGTAAAAAAAAGGTGTTAGTTTTGTTGCCAGATAGAAGGGTAAAAAACCAATTATCATACAATTATCAAATTGTGTTTGCCGTCTCTTATACGAAGATCTCCCGTATAGCCTTAACAAGCTGTTGGGGCATGCGCTAGTTGCGAGCTCCTATGAAGGCCGGGACAACACACGAAAGGGGGTGGGCGGACAACGCTACGCCGGGCCGCCTTTGTCTCCCGAGCGGCGATGTTTACACATTGCACAAAGTACTCATTGGAGGCCGAGTCAACCTAGGGGAGGCCGAGGACCGGTTCAGATAATCATTACTGGTGTTTTGCGCGAGCGGGAATCGAACTCGGATCACCGGTTTCGAAGCACAGCGCTGTAACCGCTGCACGACCCGCTGCCCATTTTTAAGTATTCCAATGATCAAATTCTGTTCGCGGTTGCTTATACACTCACACACACGCTAGACTTACTTTCCAGATAATAATGAATTTGTTAAGAGAGCATTTAGGTAGTTTCCTCGGTGCAAAAATAATGCCCTCTTTTGCTTATAAAATCTGAAAATTGATATTGCTGATAAGCCAGTGAGAAGGTTCATAGCCTTATCACACAAGCCCCACTGGCTTATCAGCCATTATGGAGCCCCTGGCTGCTAACCCCGTCATTCAATCCCCCTCTCTGCGGGTAATTTAACGGCAGGGCAATCTATCAAGCCATGCAGATATGATCGCCACGCATCCCATAATCGAGTTTCAGCGCACTATGGTTTCTGACTCTGCCTGTCTGAATTAGCGCCCTGACACAAACGACCACCGCCATCCAATTTATTAACCATTTCACCTGAAAGGGCCCGCTTTAAGCTTTTCATTTATGTGTGTGCACGCGCCGTTTTTTGGCTTACCGTTTCTTTTTTATCAAAAGCTGCCGTTGTGAAGTATAAGTCAGCTTGGCGGAGACATGTGAATTATAGAGCGGCGGTTCAGAGTTGGTCGGTTTACTTTAAGGTATGTTTGCATGCTACAAGCGAGCGAGTTATGTAGATTTAATTTTTGTTACGCCCGATTTCCCACCGCGCATTTATAATAATTTTCTCTCGTACGAAGGAATTTCATGATCAGAAAAAAGAGGCGGTAAATGTCATACTTGTTTAAACTTAGCAGCTGGTCAAACCTGCAAAGAGACACAATTATAGTAAACGCTTCTGATACTGTATACAAACTCATGCGTTGTTACGGAGCATTATGGCTAACACAGCGTATGTAGCAGACGTAATTTTAGATAGTATATCCTCATAAAGGCGCATAACAGAATTCTACTTATTTATAGAGTACTTCTGATCGTGGCAAGTTTATTGTACTTTACATTAAAAAAAAAGCCAGATCTTGCGATGTTTATTTGCGACCGTCGGAGGCAATAGCTCTGGCTCCTACGTACGGGGTTTACGGGGAGTTTAGCGCTCCCACGTCCCACATTTTCACCGCTCACCCCGCTGTCGTTCCGCGCAGGTTGCGGGGGGTTAAATCTCTAAAACGTCGTGGGGGGCTTGGGATTCATTTCGTCCTCGACCACTGCACAAGGGGCCCCCGCGCTTGCAGAGTGAGCTATGACCTTCAGTTCACAGGAAGAAAAAAAAAAACCCCAAGCGCTTGGCTCAACCCAGCGAATAATTTTGTTAGGATTGATTTCCACTCGTGATTCACCATCGGCTGGTGTTTTTCCCCCCCCCCCCATCCCCCTCTCTCATCTCTCTCCTCTCTCCTCTCTCCCTACGAGTCCAAGTCACATGGATTCCCAGAAAGGCCATGAATTGTGCAACTTGATTCCAAGTAAAGGGGGAGAGGGAGAGGAAAGAGCGAGAGAGAGGAGGAGGCGGGAGTCAAAACGTGGAAAGAAAGGAAGCGCCGCTTTGAACTCTTCCACGATTTCACGATCAATTGACCGTGCGCCGTTATGCAACGGACGTCACATTGACGAACGGCGTCGCCATATTTGTCTGCAACTCCATTGTGCTCGACAATAGCTCTACGGTTTACTTTCGGCACGAGCCTTCCGAAGGCATCGTTTCCTTCTCAAGGTTCTGTCCGCTGCCCAGAGGTCGCAACCGGGTACCCGATACCCGTACCCTACCTGGCTACCCGTACCCAGCCGGGTACGGGTTCCCGTTTGCGACCCTGGTGCGGCCGGGTACGGGTACGGGTAGACCGTGAGTCACTGGTGAGTAACTGTTTGTCACTCATTTCCCAACGTCTTGTCTCTTCTCACAATTCAAGTTCCTAGAATCAACCCACCCGCGCCTGCAACATGGCTTCATCCCAGAGGTCGCAATCGGGTACCCGTACCCTACCCGATACCCGGCCGGGTACGGGTACCCGTTTGCGACCCTGGTGCGGCCGGGTACGGGTAAGGAATCAAAACCCGTTTGCGACCTCTGCCGCTGCCTCGCGACCGTCTCTGTGCGGCCAGATTTACCTCAACCCCTGCCTCCCCTCGCCCCCCCCCCCCCCCCCGGCAGCATTAAACAATGTCACATCCCAGGGGTACACAGAAGCCGTACGTTAGTATATTAATGAACGAGCCTCGGACTAGGCTATTGTATGGTGGTATTAGTGTCACCGGGCACAGGTGTTTTAGCCAATACTCGAGATATTTACGGGCACTTCCTCAATTACCGAACCAGTCGCGTCCTGAATGCTGGCCGGGGCTAAATGTTCCATTGCCACTCCAGAGGGATTTGCTCGGGATAAAATGTCGGCAAGGCAACACCTGGGCTACAAGCGAAGGATAATGATGTAGGTATAATAAATGTAGAGCCCTTTAGTCAATCCACTGCTGTATTGAAGGCCTCCCAAAGCTATGCCTGCCATGCGGGAGGGGGGAGAGGGGGGGGCATTATCTCAGGTTACTATTTATTATGCGTGTTTACCCAGGGAAGTCAGTGTCTGATGACTCTTTTTTTTCACGAGGGTCTTGGCGCTGACGATGACTGCTCTGTAGGTTTTCTACTGGTCAGTGCTGCTGGGTTCAGATATCACTCACTGCTGGATATGCATGTTTTGCACCTCCGATTAGCACGTTTGGCTACGTACGTTGCCAAAGAAGCTTAACGTACATACATAATGAGTGTATATGAATGTATGTAGACAGTGTATCATCTTACTTTTTGCGTAGTTTTATCACTTCATTCATTATTATTTCCCTAGCAGATTTGCGTATTTGTTTGTATCCTTTGTTTTGTTTGGCAATTCCTTTCCTTTCCATATATCTTATTTTCTTCAACGTACTTTGTTTACTTATAGTGCCGCCCACTTTCGGTGCGTCGCCCTTTGCAATTTTTCGTTGTCTAAAGTTTTTCCCATTAAAGTGGCGACATCCATTCAATGGTTTCTCTCACGACTGATTGAAGATGTGGGAGTGTGAAACC